GTGTTGTTGGGCACGTGGAGTGAGCCCCAGGAAGTGCTCAATGGCTGTGTGTTGTTAAGCACGTGGCGTGAGCCACAGGAAGAGCTCAATGGCTGTGTGTTGTTGGGCACGTGGCGTGAGCCACAGGAAGTGCTCAATGGCTGCGTGTTGTTGGGCACGTGGAGTGAGCCACAGGAAATGCTCAATGGCTGTGTGTTGTTGGGCATGTGGAGTGAGCCACAGGAAGTGCTCAATGGCTGTGTGTGGCATGAAAGCATCTTGCCACTCGTTGCCTTTCTCTTTGCGGACAGTTCCAGGACATGCTGGTCGGCTGGTGTTTGGCTTCCTGAATGGCAGAGCCTGTGTGGTGATGCAGGGCAGATTCCACTTGTACGAAGGCTACCCCCTCTGGAAGGTAAGTGGATAGATCCCAGAGAAGGGGGAGAAAACAACCCATCACTAGAAAGGATTTTCACAATTCCTATTTCCTTAACTATCTAGAGGAGTTTTAGTCCACTCCTTTCTCTTCTGGATGTGCGGTGTATAGCTGGGTGGTTGCACTGATGAGATTTCAAACCCCTGCTGGTCATAAGCCCTCTATCGTTACCTAACTACCTGGGCTAGGTAGAGTTGTAGTCCACTCCTTTCTCTTTCACGATGTACACCATGTACCAGGGGCTTCAGAGAGCTCATGGAAATAGTCCATGATCTTTTCATTCCATTTCCCATGAACTCTTTGAAGCTCCCTCATAGACGTGTGTGCCTGCAGTGGTGAGATTTTGAATCCTTTCTGATCCTTTGCTTCCCAGGTCACTTTCCCAGTGAGGGTTTTCCGGCTTCTGGAGGTGGACACCCTAGTGGTCACCAATGCAGCTGGAGGACTCAACCCCAAGTTTGAAGTCGGTGATATCATGCTGATCCGTGACCATATCAACATGCCTGGTTTCTCTGGCCAGAATCCTCTGATAGGCCCCAATGAGGACAGGTACATCATTTTGCTCCCGGGTTGATGGATGTGTGGGGCTTAAGGATTTATTTAAGAGTTCAGAGAGAGCACATTGTGATCCATGAATCAAAAGTGATCTTCCAACCTGTGTCTTAGGTTTGGAGTTCGTTTCCCTCCCATGTCTGATGCTTATGACCGGGATCTGAGAAAGATCGCTCACAAAACCTGGAAACAAATGGGGGAGAAGCGAGAACTACAGGAAGGCACCTACGTGATGTTGGCGGGCCCTAACTTTGAGACTGTGGCAGAGTCTTGTCTCCTGCACAAGCTGGGGGCAGATGCTGTTGGTGAGAAGGGGGTCTTGGTTGGAGGCGTGGCCAGGGAGGGATCTGGTATAAAAGGATTTGGAGGAGTCGGAGAATCAAGTGAAAATCTGATTTGTGATTGAATCACTTGATTTCACTTCTAGGAAGATATTAAAGTAGTAAACACCCAACACCAAGGGCTTAAACAACTACACATAATGCCTTTGAGACAAATGAAACAGTGCTAAGGGGTCTGAATATAACCCATTGTTTATTTCTAAGGCTTATTCTAGAAAATATCACCACATGGCCATCTTCAGTACCACTGGTTTGAGGAAAGCATTGAGTCATTAGAACCAAATGAACCCAATCCAGTTGTCATGGATTCTTTGTTGTTGTTGTTTCATCTGTGTGTCCTGGATTCTGACTCAGGAAAACGCCCTGGGTAGTTCCCTGGGAAGTAGATCTCCAGCCCTCAGAAATGCCTCTGAGTGGTTTTGAACCACCATCTTTTCAGCTGAAAATAATCATTTTACGGTTTGTGCCATCAAAGGACTCTGTATCATTACCACTGACTTGAAAATTACCGAAAAGAAATGCAGTAGTCTAATATTGCCATCACAGCATTTACAGGAAATGTGTTAGGCCCTCTCCTCTGAAGCTCTCCCTTAATTAAAATCTATATAGAACAACAACAATTTAACTGACAACTTGCATTTTGGAAGAGACTTGGCGCTTTAAATTTGGAGCTGGGAATGAATGGAAGATGAGGGTAAAGGGTGAAGAGTCATTTGAGGATCCTGACAATTGGCTTCCATCTTTCTTCCCACCAGGCATGAGCACGGTCCCCGAAGTTATAGTAGCACGACACTGTGGCCTTCGAGTCTTTGGCTTCTCCCTCATCACCAACAAGGTGGTCATGAACTACGAGAGCCTGGAAAAGGCCAATCACGAGGAAGTCCTAGCCGCGGGAAAGCAAGCTGCGCAGAAATTGGAACAGTTCGTCTCCATTCTTATGTCCTGCATCCCTCCCTCTCACACTGCCAGTTGCCCAGCCGCTGCCTTATGGAATCCAACTAGCTGCTGCCCACTTTGGCCCTCTTCCCGGGTCACCTGCCTTTCCCTTAAGGTCATCGCAGAGAGGAGAGAGAGGATCATTTCCACCTCTCCCACCAGACCCTTCTGATGCCAGATTCTCTTTTGCTCAGCTGTTTTCTGAAAGCCATTTCCATCCCTGATCTTTCCCACACTGGAGCCCACACCCTAACACATCTGTGTGTGTGCCCAGGATTTGACTTGGGCCTTGAACTTGGCACAGTGACTACTTTTTGGAGTAATGCTCTCACATTCCTAGGGGCTGAGTTCTGCCATCCCCATCGCACTGGAAACCTCACAAGAACCAGCCCGATACCTCTTACGACTTTTAACATTGTGCTTGGATAATAAAAAGAAGGAAAAAATGAATAAATAAAAAGAAAGGTGTATCAGTTCTTCATTTTGTGCAGTGGTCAGGCTGGGAGCATAGGCCAAGACGGGCAGGAGAGACTGAGACCACAAGGACTGTGTGACTCTCTGTTCCTCACACAAGTTGCTGAGGCCCTGTCCTGAATAATTGTGGCGGGTCCCAGGACTGGAGGGTCTTGGACGTTGGTGCTCTCTCACCGGGGTCTCCTGGATTGGTAAGAACATCCATGCAAGGTAGAGCGTGGCATATCCCTGGGGCCAATGGGGTAACAGTGCTGAGCTCTAGAACTTGCCTGCGTGTGTCTCTTCACCTGGATGCCTTTTTATGCTTAATGGCCTCGTGAAGGAGACAGACACAAATACAAATGCAAAAATAGAAAGCATATTGTGCTAAGAACTATGTTGGATTGGAGCCCTGGTGGCACATTGGTTAAGTAGCTTGACGTTGGTTACCCAAAAGGTCAGCAGTTTGAATCTACGAACTGCTCCACAGGAAAACGGTATGTCTGCTCCCATAAAGATTACGACCTTGGAAACCTGTTGGAGCCATTTTGCTCCTTCCTATAGGGTTGCTATGCATTGGAGTGGCCTCGATGGGAATAGATTATGGTTTACTATATTCGACTGACCACCACGTCTCTCTCGGTCTATCGCACTGTGGTGGCTTGTAGGTTGCTGCGATGTTGAAAGCTACGTCAGGGGTATTTGAAATACTGCAGGGTCACCCAAAGTTAATATGCTTCAGAACAGCTTCCAGACTCAGAACAAACTGAGGAAGCAATCAGCGCTCCACTTCGGAGGTAGGAGCCCCGGAAAATCTTACGGCTAGCATGGAAACGTTGTCGGACTGAAATCCTCATGAGACGAACAACTGAGGGTGGTGCAGGGTCTTTCTTGTCATGGTGTACAGAGGGTGGATATGAGTCGGAGCCGATTTGACAGCACCTAACACCAACGTTGTAGACTTATGAGTAAACTATGACACCGTAGCCAGTGTCATGGAGCTACCTTTGAGATGGAAAGAGCAGACACCTGATATGTAGGTGGGGACTAGAAAGGCCTAACATTTTTCTTTTTGAATAATGACCGTTAGATGCTACGTTACGTGTAGTTCTCTATAGAGAAAATCAATGTGTGTGGGGACGTGTGTGTATCTTAAATAAATTCAATAGAGCAATCCATCCATGTTATTTATAAGCAGCGTGTAAGGCCCTTTGAAGCCTATCTTAATTTAAATTATATATATATATATATATGTCTCCCATCGGAGGAGATGAGCTAATCAGGGTGCAGGGTAGCAACGATGAAACATATAACTTTCCTCTAGTTCTTTAATGCTTCCTTCCCCCCCAATATCATGATCCCAATTCTGCCTTGCAAATCTGGCTAGATCAGAGGATGTACATTGGTACTGATAGCAACTTGAAACACAGGGAATCCAGGATAGATGACTTCTTCAGGACCAGCGGTGAGAGGGGCGAGGCCTGGAGGGTGAAGGGAATGTGGGGTAGGAGGGGGGAACCAATTACAAGAATCTAAGTATAGCTTCCTCCCTGGGGAATGGACAGCAGAGAAGAGGGCAGAGGGAGACGTCGGACAGGGTAACTTATGACAAAACTATAATAATTTATGAATTATGAAGGGTTCAGGAGGGAGGGGGCGGGAGGGGGAAAATGAGCAAACGATATTGAGGGCTAAAGTAGAGGGCAAATGTTTTGAGATTGATGAGGGCAACAGGTGTACATAGGTGCTTGACTCAGTGGATGTATGTACGGAGTGTGATAAGAATTGTATGAGCCCTCAATAAAATAATTTTTAAAAAAAATAGCCCATCACAATAATTTAAATGACAACTTGGATTTTTAAGAGACTTTGAGGTTTTAAATTCTGAGCCGGTATACAATTATGTCAAGAATGGGGCTCAGACAGTTGTAGAAGTGGGTAAGACCAGTCTGGTTCATGTCTGCATGTCTAATGTTCAGTTGGAGGCCTTTCCTGACTCACAGAGCTTCTGAGGCTGATGAATCAGGATGCAGACAGATCACAGGTTGGTGCAGGCAGAGGAGGATGAATCCAACGTTGTTAGGCAGGATGGCAGGCTGCTGATAGCCCCAAGGGTTGGCAGGCAATGTGGGGGGCCATTGGCTCAAGTCTAAGGAACGGGTAATACACCAGCAAGAAGAGCACACAGTCTGATTAAGTAGTAATAGACCTCACCCCTGAGGCAATTTCCTTTCAATTGCACCAGGGCTATTACCTGACTAGGACAGTGTACCCCACTCTCTTCCTCTTACAACTCTTTTCTGCCTGGAACAGATCCCATCAGGGGGCTGTTTATATTCTGTTACAATTGGAAGTTTCAATTGCAGAGAAACCTGGCTCAGCCAAGTTGACACAAAACCTAGCTATCACAGATGTGCAATATGTTTCTTTTGAGTCGAAACACTGCCAATTGAAAGCATACAAATTATGTTAGATGGACAAACAGCCCCTAGTGACTGGACACCTCAGAGCAGCCGTCTAACATCTGAAAGCAGCAGCAGCAGCAGCCAGTCAGCAGATCACAAAACACTTCTCTCTTCTGACTCAAAACCATCCTGTACTTGGTGTCTGCCTTGTCAACATTTGTTCTAAGGGGGAAAACACCCCAGATTAAATACTTTTGAATACTTCTTCTTTTAAAAAAAAATCATTTTATTAGGGGCTCATGCAACTCTTATCACAATCCATACATACATCAATTGTGTGAAGCACATTTGTACATTCACTGCCCTCATCATTCTCAAAACATATGCTCTCTGCTTAAGCCCCTGGCATCAGCTCCTCATTTCCCCCCTCCCTCCCCATTCCCCCTCCCTTGTGAACCCTAGATAATTTATAAATTATTATTTTGTCATATCTTGCACTGTCCGGCGTCTCCCTTCACCCACTGAATACTTACTTCTTAAATTTAGTGTTGTCCTGTGTTTAGTGTGAGTAATGTTAGTACCCGCGGACATTTAAACTGCTTAAGGGACCTGTCCATGATCTAAACAGTGATTGAATTGGGACTTGAACCCAAGTTACTCATTCTAATACAGTATGCTTTCAGTGATCGACCTTCTTTTTTCATTATCCTAGTCAGAAATTCAAATAGTTATAACACCATAGTTACAATCACTAATCATTAGCTATAATTCAGATTTTTAAAATTATTACTAATCATTTTATTGAGGGCCTCTTACAAATCATATGGCAATTCATCATTCAATTGTACTAAACACACTTGTACATTTGTTGCCATCAACATTTCCAAAACATTTTCTTTCTACTTGAGCCCTTGGTATCAGCTCCTCTTTTCCCCTCCCTCTCACCCTCGTGAATCCTCGATCAGTTATATATTGTTGTTATTTCATGTCTTGCACTGTCTGTTGTGTCCCTTCACCCACATATAATTCAGATTATGAATCTGATTGTTCCATTCCCTGTGTTTTTCCCATGAATTATTCACTGATCTCAACTTCAGCTTCATAATTGCCACTATAGGTAATTGATGACTTTAACAGATGGATTTCTTTTCTCACAATTTAGAAGACTAGACGTCTAATACAGGGGAAGACTCTTCTCTAGAAGAAGGTTCTTGTTTTTTGTGAGCTTCTGGTTCTTGACAATCTTCCTGTGGGTTGGCATGTCTCTTGCTCTTCAACTTCCTAGCTTCTCATTAGACTTTTATATCCCAAAATCAATTTATTTACTCTCTGCTACTCCTGTCTTATGGACATAACAGATCACTCATTTCCAAATGAGATTATAACCTAGGCATAGAAGTTAGGATTTTCCATATATATTTTTTTGAGGATACAATGTATCCCTTAGTGGGCTCCAATCACACTTCCTCCTGCTTTCCTTCATCTTTGGCCATAGCTGGTGGCAACCTTACTGCCTTCTTTTCTGACAAAGCCATTTTCTCTGTTGTCAATCATCCTTCTGATTAGATTCCTATTGGTACCTGGCACACCTGGGAAGCTGGTTCAGACTCAGTTCTCCTTGAGCACTTCCCTTCCCCATGCTTCCTTCCAGCAACAATCTCCCTCCTTTGGCTTGGTCAGAAACTCCCTGTGACACTGCATGCAGATATTGCCCTTGGGTGGTTCACTGCACTAATTTTGCTTATCAGTTTGCATTCAGCTGGCTGGCATGTTTGAAAACAGTATGCCCAACACCCCTCCCAGTACTATTTGCCTCTTCAGAAAAGACCAAAAAAAAAAAAAAACCCTCCAAAGCAACAACAAAAAATCCCTCACTGTCACCAAGTGGATTCCAAATCATACACATCCTATAGGACAGAATACAACTTGCTTTGCGAGTTTCAAGGCAGTAAATCTTACAGAGGCTTAGGTTTCAAACTGGTGACTTTGTAGTAAGCAGCTCAATGTGTAACCCACTGTGCAATCTGGGTTAGATATGTTCTAATAGTAAGATCAGTTCCAACTCATAACAACGGAGTTAGGCAGGGTTCTGTAGAGAAACAAAACCAGGACATTCATAATTACAGATAGGTTTATACAGCGAGAAGGAATATAACAGCTAATTAGTCCACACAGCAGTACAGAGGGTTCAGTTCAACTCACTTGCATGGAACAGTTAATATACTAGAATTCCTTCAACTCAACGTGAGCTGATGGGCCCAAGACAGCAGAGTCCTCCATAGGGAAAGGCAAGCAGAGTCTACCCCACAGGCAGCAAATAGCAGGGTGGGTCAGCAGTAGTCAGTAGCTCGGGAGCTTAGTGAAGCAGACCTGGATGGGATATCAAATGCAAGCAACGCAAGGCAACAGGATGCACCAGCCTCAAGCTCAAGTGCTGTATGCACCAGCAGCGTGGTGAAGCATGTCTCCAACAAGCCTCAAGCTCTAGCAACACGATGCATGGGTTGGCTTGGCCCACAGGTGCTGTAGCTCACAGGTTGAGGCAGAGAACTAATTAAAGCGGCAGCACCCTCCAGCATGCTCCAGTCACCAGAGGGTAAGAGTGAGGGG